TATTAAAAATGGAATTTTCAATCCTGTTTAACAGTAACAGCCTCAGCCCTATTCCTGGACATTTTGGAATGGGTTTATTTTGGAGCCGTTCTTGAGACCACGGAAAAGCATGGGTTCAAAATCTCAAAGTTGATTATTTTAGGAGATAGCAGAATTCTATCAGAATTCTTTCTCTCTGGAGGAAAAAAATCAAAATCACTCATGAGTCCCAACCCCAGGGAGCATTTTCCCGCTTGGCCCCTGGCCACAAGGCTCCCTCTGTCTGCCTAAGATGGAGGGTGCTAGGCTATTTCCTGTCACAGCAATTTAGACTGCACTGACTGCTGGTTTTGGGGGGAGCATTTATTTATTTGAAGTGATGACTCTTCCAGCAACTCTCAGACAACTGGGCCTGCAGTTTAATGCAAAGACTCAAGGACACCAGGCTATTCAGGTCCTGTGGGGCCGGAGATTACCCAAGCTACCTCGGGAACAGTAAGGGACCTCTAGAGTCATTTCTGGTGGTGGGGACAGAGACCAGGGTTGTAGTCTCTCATAGCCCCATCATCTTCCTCTACTACTTTTGGCTTCAACTTTTCAGTACACAGTCAGCACTCATGGGAGAACAAACTTCTCAAGACAGCATGGAGAGCAGCTCCATGCTAACTGCTCCTGGTAGCCTAGGGGAAATAATCCTGTGGGGGATCAATACAAAACAATCCACCCAAAGTCCAGGCCTGCCAAGAATGCACCCATGCTAAGATGTGGGGGCCCCACTCTGCGGACATGCCCAGGGCTACAGGAACAGAGGTGGCTGGGGAGAACAGCAGCTAGAATTACAGCTGAAATATGCTGCTACTGGGTGGAAGAGATGCCCCAGGCCCGCAGCTTCTGGCTTTCACTGTCTTCCTATGCGAGCTTTGCTGCACTCATAGAACTCTGAACACAGACTCTTCTTTCGGTTTTAGGAAGGAGCCCCAACTCAGAGACCCATCAAATCAAGTTTCTCATTCTCTCACTATCTCTGCTGAAACCCCTTCTCTCCAGAGCCAAGATCCCCAGGGGAATCTTATCTCCACATCTCTATGCTCTTGGGTTTCGTCTGCCCAACAGGCCTGATACCCTCCCTAGAAGCTGTTCCACAGCCCCAAAAGGCCCCAGCCCCCTCTTCCCTTGCGCAGACCAGGGGGTGCCACCATTGCTGCATCTCCCGCCCCCTCCCATCCACCCTGAGCGTTACTAGAGAGGGGCACGCATAGAATGCTCATTTGTGCAGCCTGGTGTCCAGGACTTGTGAACGAAACAATGATGGTGTGTGCACCCGGTTCCAAGCAATAACAAAAGGAGAGAATGAAATGACAGCCAAAGCAGACTGTTTCTGCTGGAAGCCTCGGAAGCCGCTGTCAACCCACTTTAGGTCTCGGCTTCACCGCAGTCCAATATGTCCTTGCTTACTTTGTGCCTGGCTGAACTCTCTCCAAGGTTGGGGCGAATCCAATGGCCATGAAACCCTGGGTTTGGCTTTGTATTGCGATGTATTCAATTACCAATCTATGTTTCTCTGGTGGCTCCTTTCAGGAAAGTTATAGGCCACACAGTATAATGAAGGCTGAACAGTGGATTGAGCCAAAAAAGCTAATTTGACAGATGAGGGTTGGGGTGGAGAACGCTCCTGGGAAAAAACTCATCTTAAGGAGGGGTCTGCTCCTGGTTTCAAGGACTCTGAGTGTTCTTTATGTAGGAGACTGCACTCCTGCTTCTGGTCCCCATGGCCCTCCAGTCACCCATGCCCTTGGCTGTGTAACTTTGCACTTCTTCTAGGAAGCAGAGGGGACACTGCTATCCTTTTAAACTTCAGCTTGGTCATGGGACTTTGCTGTACCCACAGCATAAGTCTGAACTAGGAGTGCCCCAGCTTTGGCCAAGATCTGAGGAAGAATGCACGGCTGCACCTACCCTCTGCACCCTGCTCTTCCCATAGGAGGAAGAAGCCCCAGACAAGTCCACTAGGTCCTGCTGAACAATCAAAGACCCCAAAGCTTAGCTGAGTTTGAATGACTGAGCCTAGTCAGGAAGGAGCTACCCTCTCCTGAACGCAAATGCATTAAGTGAGCCAGTCAGCCGGAATCCAACCAAATCCAGTCAGACCAGCCAGTCCTCAGGTGACTGCAGATCCAGAAAAATACATGATTACAATTGGATTTTGCGGTGGCTGATTATGTGTGTATTTGTGTGTGTGCGCATGAGTGCATGCATGTGTGCCTGTGTGTGCATGTGCAGCTGATGAATAGAGGATTCTGGGTTGTGGTTGACACACCAGTTCTCACATTATGGATTACTGAGCTCTGGGGAGTGGAACTGGGGAGCCAGGCTGGGGCGGCGGGGGCAGTGTGAGGCACAAGTTTCTCACTGACCACATCTAGAGTTCTGTGTGAAACCCCAGCAAGAAACTCCAGCATGAAAAGCCCAATTCAGCAAGGATGGTCTGACCAGCAAGGACAGTGACACACGGACTTTCCTGTCCAATATTTCACCTTGAAGCAAGTGAATATTATCCCACTGCACAAACTTTTCCTTGCTCCAAAATAAACTCCCATATTTATAATCTGTCTCCAGAGAAAACAAATCCATGTACTTTTGCTTCATTACATTTTCCTTAGGACACTCTTTAGATGACCTATTCAAAATTAAAAAGAATGACCTGATAATTTATGAATCTTCCTGAGAATAGGTTTCTCTAATAATCCTAGGAAGACTTTCCTATATATGTTAAATAATTCCAAGATCCACTGCATATATCTGCAGTAATTTTCTAAGCTTCATAAAATTTCCAACCTTGCTACTTTAATTGACCACTCTTTTACTCAGCAAAAGTAATGCTAATAATGTGACAGTGGATAGGATACTTTCCTTGCACAGGGATGACCTGAGTTTGATTCCCGGCATCCCATATGGTCCCATGAACCCTGCCAGGAGTGTTCTTTGAACACAGAACCAGGAGTAAGTCCTAAGCACTGCCAGGTGTACTCCCAAGAGCAAAAATAAATCAATAAAAGTAAAAATTAATGCTAACTAGTATTTAAGTACTTTGGAGAAAGATGTATGCATAGGGTTAGAGGTTATCCACTGCTCCCCCAAATAAACCCAAGAGAGTGTTAGTATTCCTGGGGCCAGAGAAATAGTACAACAGGTAGGCCACTTGTCTAGCACATGGTCAACCCAGGTTCTATCCCTGAAACCCCTTACAATCCTCTAAGCCTTGCCAGAAGTGAGTGATCCTGAGCACAAAGCCAGGAGTAAGCCCTGAACATCTTCAAGTGTGACCCCAAAACAAAATAAAAGGTAAAGGCCCAAAATAAAACAAAGCAAAATAATGTTAGTATTCCTTTCCTATGATGAGAAAGTTTATTTATCTTTATAGTATTTGGCATAATTATAGTTAGGGATGTGCTCATCCTTTCTTTCTCTCTCTCCTTCCTTCCTTCCTTCCTTCCTTCCTCCCTCCCTCCCTCCCTCTTTCTTTCTCTCTCTCTTTCTTTCTTTCTTTCTTTCTTTCTTTCTTTCTTTCTTTCTTTCTTTCTTTTTTCTCCTTCCTTCCTTCCTTCCTTCCTTCCTTTCTTTCTTTCTTTCTTTCTTTCTTTCTTTCTTTCTTTCTTTCTTTCTTTCCTTTCTATCACCATGAGATAGTTACAAAGCTCTCATGATTTGAGTTTCATGCATCCTTCCACCAGTGTGCATTTTCCACCACCAATATTCCCAGTATCCCTCTTGCCACTCCTACTCCACCCCACTCCTTGCTTCTGTGGCAGGCACCTTCCTTCTTACAATCTGTCTACTTTGGGCATCATGGTTTGCAACACAGATACTGAGAGGCCATCGTGTTTGGTTCTTAGTCTACTTTCAGCACATAAGGGATGGGCTCTTTCTGTCACTCCACTCAAATGGAACTCTTACCGTTAAAGGAAGGGACCCAGGACGGCATCTTAGGAAACAGCTTTCATGACTGAAGCTTATTATTGAGCTGTGCCTGGAGGGGCTTTCTGGCCCCAAAGCTAGAACAATCTTTCAGAGGGCTTTGTCTCGAAAGGAAATCATTCTCTGAAATGTGATTGCGTGAACAGCACTGGCACCTTCTGCCTGAGAGAAGTCTGCAATCAAAGGCTGGCAAAGAGGAAACAGCAGGCCTCCTTGTGGTTCACCTTTGCCCCAGGGACACATACCCACAGAGCCAGGAAACCTCAGGACAATAGAGAGACTGTCTGTGCCCACACATCAGGCCAGGCTCCTCCTCACCCTGGCTCCTGCCACAGAACCACCACTGGTTGTGAGAGCGGATGTTGCAGTTATACAGTGTGGAAAAGCCCTTTCCTTTTTCTCCTAAGGCAAATCATATGAAATCGCCTAGAACGGCTTATTCAATATTGACAATTTTATGTGATTCAGTTAACACAGTGAGTAAAATGACATTTTCTCCTCCACTCCTCTGTCCCTCCTCCTCAACACAGATACTCACAGAAATACATTAACTTATTTGTGAGAGGTAAGAATTCCAAAACCAAACCAAACTGAACTCTTCCCTGCTCCCCCATAGTAGTGTCAGAGTAAATTTTTGTTTGTTGGTTTTGGGACCACACATGGCGATGCTCGGGGTTACTCCTCGCTCTGAGCTCAGGAATTAATCCTGGTGGTGCTCGGGGGACCAGGTGGCATGCTGGGGATTGAACCTGGGTTAGCCGCCTGCAAGGCAAACGCCCTACCTGCTATACTATTGCCCAGCCCCAAATTATCGCTGTTAAAACTCTCTTATAGGGCGGTGCTGTGGGTCAGTGATAGTGCACATGACCTGCATGTATGAGACTCTGGGTTCAATCTCTAGCACCATGAAAATCATTCAAGACAACTTTTCAAAATGTGAAACATTATGGCTCACTAATTGTATTCACCTTCTGAAGTGGGGATGCTATACATGCTCAGGTTTTGGGGTTCACCAGAACACAGTGGTGAAAGCAGCATGGACTCACCCAGACAGCAGCAGTTGACCCCGGAGCTGCAGGTCGGCTGCACAGTCCTCAGAATGGCAATTTCTTTCAAACACCGTCTGTAAGAGAGATGCAACAGGAAGGTCCAAACAAGATCTAATGGTAATGAAGCAAAAAGAATAGCAATGACTATCTGCTAAATCAGCAGGAGTCCTGAGTGGAATCACTGAAGTGCTTCTTCAGTTCCAGGTTCTAAGAAGTGTATACAGCAGTTGCTCTTTCTGCCTTTTTTTCTGAGAACATCTTAAAGGCCCTCAGTGGTGAATGGTTCACACGAAGAAAGAATTCTTAGAATTCTTTCTTGAATGACCTGCAAAGACCTGGTCATTTCTCTCTGTCTGTTCTTTCAGATTTTACTGGATGGTGTCCATAAGGTGGGTTCAGGTCACCTCACCTCCCACAGCTGGAAGTTACATAGATGCTTTGTCCAATGAAGTAAGGAAAACAAGGAGAAGCAGAAAAACCTCACTTGTAATGGGCTCTGCCTAAATAACAGGACAACATAGCCATTTTTAGTTCTAAAGGAAAAATCAATGGTGGCGAGCCCATGAGATCCCAGGCCTTGAGGGCTGACAGGAACCCTTTCCCATGTCATGGAGGGGCAGTGAGCACTTCAGAGGGGCTTGGTGTCCTTCTAACAAGACCCTGGAGTCAAAAGCCAATACCCTACCCAGTGTTGGGGCCTGATATTTGGTGTGCCCAAACCCCTATCTTTCCAGAAAGGGATGTATGGGGTATGCTTGAGTTGGGCCAGTCTGTGGAGGGTGGCTAGGGACTTGAGGTTGGCCATTTGGGAAGAATTACAGTTTTCCACTGTGATGCATAGCAGGTCCATCAGCCCTCCCTTACTCTGGTCTCAATAACTCAGGGGAGTCCTAGTCTATGACACCTGGTTTCCTGTGCTTTGGTCTTACTGAGGTCATTCACTCCTCCTCAGGGACATGAATCATTTCAGTGAGGCTTTTTCCTTAGGGGGCCTTCGGTCAGTCATGGTGGTCCTGCCCTTCTTGGGAGCTATTGCTAATTTCATGTTTGGTGGTTGATTCCAGCAGTGCCAGGGGATGGAACCAGGGACAGTAGACTGAAAGGCAAGTGTCCACTGATGATTAGGAGAGTGGAGCCTGCTGCCATTTTCAATTGTAATTTGTTTACAATTAAACTATCTGTCTCTGTGTGTGTGCATATGCGTGTGTGTGTGTGTGTGTGTGTGCACGCGCGTGCATGTGCAGGGATGGAGCTTAGGGTCTTATACACACAAGCCATATATCATACCACTGAGATCATGCCTGACCTTGTTGTCACTGCTCATGTTTGTGAGTTTCTTCCCCTAGCAGAACACAGCACAATTTCAGGACATCCTCCTATGGGACAGACCAGACAGTTTCTCTGGGTGTCAACCCTGGCTCCTGCATAGTTGCCAGCCAACAGAGAGTAAAGACTAGGACAGAGTAATCTCATCTATGGAAGTCCATGGTCCCATGCCACCGTTCCAAAAGGATCAAGTGTCCCTGCCAACATGACCTACCTTGCAAGTGAGGGGCAAACCCATGGAATCATAGGCATAAAGGGGAGACTCCCTTGTTCTCGTGGACATGTCAGGAGCCCAGGAGGGAACTAACTTTTGAAACATTTGGGCATTATTGACCATTTCAGTCAAGGAGGAAACAGGAGGAGAGTTTGTGACTGAATAGCTCAGGAAAGAGATGACAGCTGCCTTCCCTGTGGATCTGTCTCTGAGGCAAGGAGTGAGGTCAGAGCCAATGGTGGATTAAGCACCCAGATAATGGGCCCCAAGTCTCAGGGTGCCCCATTGACACGCTGCTCTTAGGACCTGGCCCCCTAACTTTGTGTTAATAACTTGATCCTTATTTCCTTATGAGCATTTTCACCCCTAATTATATAAGCTTCAGAGTCCCCCCAAATCCTACTCTGGTCTTGGTGATAGGCTCCTCCCTCTCATCTTCCTTACTTCATGGGCAAAGCATCTGTCTGACTTCCAGCTGTGGGAAGTGAAGTGATCTGACCTCACCCTATGGACAACATCCAGTAATATCTGCCCCTGCCCTGCTTACCCCGTTACTGGCTCTCTGGTAACTCCCCTTAGCTCAAGGTGGTGACACCCATCACATTCTTCCTTCCAGGTAACCCGAGCACAAATACTCTCACCATTCATGGTGCAAATCAAAGCCATATCCCTTAGCCACCGTCCCCCTCACATACACATGCGTTAGGTCCTTATGGTCAACTGTAGTTCCATGTGCTTCTTCCTTCTTCCACCCATCTTGGTGCTAATAACTTAAAAATTTATCATTCTATATATAATATTTGTCTCCTATTTTAAAACCATGCTCCACAGGGAAGGCAGCTGTCTAGATCTCACTTATTTCCACCCTTTTATTTTGCCCTCCAATGCTGCTGAGTTTCCACTCAACAAAGACAATTATTGACTCTCTGTCTCTGTCTCTGTCTGTCTGTCTGTCTGTCTGTCTGTCTCTCTCTCTCTTCTCTCTCCCCCTCTCTCTCTCTCTCACACACACACAATTACACACACCATGTAAATGCTTACACTGACCAGTTACAGTTATGAACAAACTAAGATAAGAAAATAAAACATGAGCCTACAAACTATTTCAAGGGTTCAATGATGACATTCATAAAACGAAAACAGCATCAGTGATTCTCCTGTTAATCCAGATTACCTTTCAGCCACAGGCATAGTCTGCAGATAATGTGCTGGTTTAAATTTAGGCACCACACACTGCTGTAGATTGGAAAGGCGAATGACACTGCACAGGGGTAAAACCCTTCAAGGTTTCCCAAACGAACACGGGAGGAAGATGAGCAGGGAACCAGGCAAGGGAATTTACCTCTGGGTAGACAACTGTACTTTCCCGAGACTGAGCAAAATGCCTTCCATTGTACCCTTTCCAACGTGACCTCTCCCAGAGTGAGGTGAGTCAGTGATTCCCCATGAATCTGCATGAATTTATGACCACAGCAAAGGGGTGCTTTGTGATCTCCAAGACTGGGTCTTAAAAAGCAATCCAGCCACCCCCAAGCTCTCTTGGAACAGGTGTCCCTGGAATGCAGCTACTGTGTCTCGAGCAAGCCCAAGCTTGTCTGGGTGAGGCTCAGAGCAGAGAACATGATGACCAGCACCTCATTCTGGCCCTATGAGCATGATGTCACAAAAATGTGTCTTCCATCTCACTGAGCTGCCTCCGCTGACACTATGTGGATCAGGGATACACTTCTCATCCTAGTCCTGCCAAATTTCAAATTCATAACTGTCTGCTGTTGCTAAAACCAGTTAGTCTTGGAGCAGTTTGCTATTCAGCAGTTGATTAATAGACTGCTCCAAGACCAATGGCCAATGTGGGCAATGGTATGAACAAAAGTGGGCTACCTATGCCAAGTTTTGGCAAAGCCTTGGTTTAGGCAAGAATGTGCCTAGGCTGCAAATGCCAAAATGGGAAGATACCAGGGAATCAAAAGGTCAGCATGATGTTCTGGAGTGATTGGCACTGATCTTGGGAGCTCCTCTGCTCTGAAACAGAATCCATCTCTTTGGAAAAATGACCCTCTCCACCCTCACCAGATGTCCATTCCCTGGAAGACACTCAGCATACCAATCCCCCTCCCAGCTCCCCAGTCACACCATTCAAACCTTGAGTGTTCAAATCCTACTCCGTCTATAAGGCTCTGGCCTGTTTGTCCTTTCTCCATGGAGCAACTTCTCCTCTTAGTTGGACTTCATCTCTGTAGTCACACACTCACACTCACTCTCTTTCTCACTCACACATACACACTCTCACTCACATACACACTCACACACATACACACACACACTCTCTCTCATACACTCTCACATACATACACTCTCTTACACACATACACACTCTCACATACACACACACCCTCAGACACATACTCTCACACATATACACATACACACTTTCAAACACACATGCACATTCTCACACACTATCAACCTCAATATATTTTAACACGCTCACACTCACACACATACACTCTCTCATACTCACACATACACACTCTCTCCTACACACACACCCTCAGACACATACTCTCACACACATATACACATACACACTTTCAAACACACATGCACATTCTCACACACTATCAACCTCAATATATTTTAACACGCTCACACTCACACACATACACTCTCTCATACTCACACATACACACTCTCTCCTACACATACATACTCTCACACACATGTATCCTCTCTCATGCATTCTCTCCCACACTCAAACATAATTTCTCACATTCATACAGTCTCTCTCTCACACACACACACTCTGTCACATTCACACACATACACACTCACAAATACAGTCCCACTCTTTCACACACACTCTCACATAATTTACTGAATTGTTCTTGGGTTTATAGTCCTTTTAAACACTCTTTTTGGTAACAAATAAAACAAGTTGGGTTTTTGTTTTCTTTGCCAGTGATGATCAAATAGCCCCCAAGAAGAATATCAGAGGTAGCCTCACAGCTCCCCTCCCCAGCCACCCTGGGGCACACTGTCTCCCCAGGCTGTTCCCGTGCTGCAGAGGGGAACTGGACCTCCAGCCTGTTACCCACTCTGACTCCTGTTTACTGTGAGGCACCTCACATCCGACAGGAGACCTCTTTGTACCCTGCTCCTGTCTGTCTCTGGACTCCACTCACTGTGTGTGCAGCCTTGCTAGACCATCCAGAGGTTGTAGCAATGACTCCCGTGACTTAATTCACCCCTTGCATCTTCCTATGTGCCAGCCTGTGCTTGGGCCTTTGAGATGATGAGACGAAGGCACTGAAGAGATTCTCTTCCGATCTTATCTGACAACATGACGTAAAGTGCTCCCATGTGTTCCTTCCTCCCCATCTTCCTGCCAGAGCAGCCCGATAGTCTGTGCAACTGTCATATCGGCACACAAAGGTTAAAAATCAGCTCTGCTTCCTGGAGGGGGCTTAGGGCTCATAATCTTTCTTCCCTGCCAAATGAGCCAACATCTGGGAGACACATGGAGAAAGATCATTA